TCTCTCTCTCTCTCTCTCTCTCTCTCTCTCTCTCTCTCTCTCTCTCTCTCCCCCCTTCCCCCCTTTCTCTCCAAATAAATAAACATTAAAAAAGAAGCATATTAGTTATACTTAAACTCTGGACCAATGAGGCATGGAACTAACGTTAATATCTGGCCCCCAAATTAAATGATTCTGGCTCTAATGAGGAACCACTGTTGCCACTAGTAGCAAAGAAACATTGAGAACAACCAAACACAGCTTTCTATGGTAGAATATAAAATGCTAATCCTTTAAATGTGGCAGAAACATTATGAGTTTTAAATGAGGCAGCATGATCTAAAAACAACATAAATTATTAACTCACTGGTTTATATTTCATATTGTTCCATTGGCAGATATCCTTACTCTTCAAAGCACAAGGAGCGGCCACTTCTGACTGAGCCCAGCATTTCAAAATTGGAAACTCTGAGAAGAAATGGTAGAACATTATATCAGAAAACCTGCATCTGGACTAGATAGAGGTGAGGCCAGTCTTTCATGTTGAGATATCAGTATTCAAACTTTTAATACACAATGTACATGACCTGAATCCATCTATCACATGCTGTTTTATTTTAGGAGCCTGCTCTACATGGATGCTAAGGAATTACAAAATTACTAAGACTGTACAGAAGTTAAGCATGACTTCTTAACAAATCCCATTACAGTAGGTACCACATTTTAAAATTTTAATGTAGGGGCACCTGGGTGGCTCAGTTGGTTGAGTGTCTGACTTCAGCTCAGGTCATGATCTCACAGTTCATGAGTTTGAGCCCCACATCGGGCTCTCTGCTGTCAGCATGCAGCCCACTTTGGATCCTCTGTCCATGCTCTCTCTGCCTCTTCCCCATACATGTGCTCTTGCCCACTCTCATACTCTCTCTCAAAAATAAATAAATATTTTTTAAAAAGGGCACTTTTTCAAACTTTAGAGTAATTAAAAGAAAGCAAGCTAGGCTGGATGAACAAATTTAGCAGAATTGAACACTTTATTATTTTTTCATCATGAAAAATATGATTGATGGCAGCAGAGTAGGATTAAAAACTTCCAATCTCCCAGTCTTTAGTGCTACTAATTTGTGAATATTGCAATCAACCCAAATTTGGAGACACAAAGAGCCAAAATCTGAAAGGAGCTTCTTAAAGTCTTGATTCTAGGAAGACTGCAAATGGGGAAAGCATAGTTTTAATTCACACAAATCACACATAAAAACAGAAAGAGCTGGTGCGCCTGCGTGGTTCAGTCGGTTGAGCACCTGACTTCAACTCAGCTCATGATCTCATGGTTCATGAGTTTGAGCCCCGCACTGGGCTCTATGCTAACAGCTCAGAGCCTGGAGCCTGCTTTGGATTCTGTGTCTCCCTCTCTCTTTGCCCGTCTCCTGGTTGTGCTCTGTCTCTCAAAAATAAACTTAAAAAAATTTTTTTAACGTAAAACAGAAAGAAAAATTATTCCCCAAACCAAAAAGTCATGGCCAACATTTATAACAAAACTAGGTGATAAAGTATCCCCACCAAATACACAAATCCATGCAAGTGGATACAAAACACCAATAGCTGCAAGTCCTGCAAATCAGCATGAAGAAACAGAAAGCAGCAAAGGGACAGAGGATCAATGGCTGAAAAAAGAAATACACTAGACATTATATGCCTAATCATACAAGAACACACCACCACCTATAGTCTTGTCAAATCAATCAAAGCTGAATCTGATCACACATCTGGAGCCAGTGGCCAACTTCCAGGAAATAGAGGCTGTTCATCTGAACAGCATGAGTGTAATGTGTAATCACCAAAACCCCAACTATGAGAAATCCAGGTTTCTCCACAGGCGAATTTTTATTTTATTTTAACTTTTTTATTTATTTATTTATTTATTTATTTATTTATTTATTTTTCTTGTTTTAAGTAGGCTCCATGCCCAACATGGGACTTGAACTCACTACCTTGAGATCAGGACTCTCACGCTCAACTGGGCCAGCCAGGTGCTCCTCAAAAGGGGAATTTTCAAAAAAAGAAAGGGAAAGAGGAGGAATCTGTAAATTAAGAGATTTAACGGTAATACATTTATTTAAATGGAAAAGATGAAGCTTTATTCTCTAAGAATGCCCACTTGGGTGAAAAAAAAGTATAAAGAAACATAAGGAAGTGACTAAAAGTCAGGATAGTAGGTTAGTTTTAGAGGAAAGGAGGAAGCAATGATTGAGACAGGACACATGGAGCTGCTGCTAGGGTGACTAGTGAAGTTCTATTTCTTGACCTGGGAGGTAATTACAAGGGTATTTGCCTTATAATAATTTACTATTTATTTGTGAAGTTTTTCTATATCTATGGTTTATTTTACAATCAAAAAATTAAAAAGAAAAAAGAAACATGCTTTTGTCATCCTTGCCCTTGACTTCAGACTTGCCACCACATCTTTACTTTTATTTTCAACCTTCAGAAAAGACTTGCAACCCTCACCTTGGTCACAATACATTAGTAAATCAGGGTTATTGACCACAATAACGGTTTCTCCATCTTTACTATGTGGCCGATGATAGCGGTAGTGCACAGGCAAAAAAGCTTGGAAACAATCGATGCACTGTGAATCTTGTCTGGCATAAATTAGAACTTCAGATTCCTTGGACAAATAATTGGGAGCTTCTATATTAAAGTTTTCTGAAACCATCACTGCCTGTCAAAAAAACAGCAAATATTAATCCAGAAGAAGAAATGAATGAGGAAGATCAATAAATAAAACCAGAAGATTGCTATACAGATGAACAGAAATGTCTAATCCCCCCCTTATAAACAATTTCCATTCCATGCCATCCGCAAAACACAAGATGTGCTCTAAAAGTTTGTTTACTAAAAGTAAACTGAGGAAATTATACTCTAGGGTGTGAACTTTCCCCATAATAAAAATTATTTATTTGTAGTTTCTTTATCAACCTTGCTTGGGTGACAAAACAGGTACCAAAAAAAGAGAAATTCTGGGAATATAGCATTTAATAAATATGAAAACTATGACAAAAACAGTTAACCCAGTATTGGGTTGAAATGATTGCTATCATTCTGGTAATTTCCTGTTCTTCAGAGAAGTTAAGATGGCAGTGAGTAAGACAGAGTACTGTGGTCAGGAAGTCAAAGCAAAGGTCAGCACTCTTTCCATATTTGGTATAAAAAGTTAATAGAAAAATAGTAAATGCTTCTTTAAAAAAATATGGTAAAAAACAATTTAAAATAGATCTTCTACACCAAAAGTAAAAATGCATACGTTGCAGAAATTAGTCCTGAATTATAATGTTTGTGTGTGTATATATTAAATATCCATCCACACACATTTATGTATAAACACATATATACACATGCACATGTATGTACACATATATAGGCACTCTATACATAATCTGTGAGTGTGTGTGTATGTGTGTGTACAGACCTACACACATACAACTTGTCTCTAGATTCTCTATGTGAAGCCCAGATACATCTCAGAGAAAAAAACAGAATTAACTTCTTCCCATCATGGCAAACATCCTAATTCTCCTGTTTGATGGAAGCACCAAGTACTTTATTTTTTCACATGTTTTTCCTTCTCTGATTATCACAGGAATAAGAAAAAAACAACTCACTGGCAAAAGCCAAGGAGTTATATAATCTTATGAGTCATAATGAACTTTAAAGGTGATCAAATTAAACCACTGTCCCAATGAGAGCATTGTTCAAGGATCCAGTCACTGCTTGAATACTCTCAATGACTAAAAGGAAGCTTATTGCTTTAAGTCATCTCATTTTATCTACTGTTAAAAGGTTATTCTTTTCTTTTTTTTTTTTTTTTTTAGGTTATTCCTTTTTTATGCGTAGAAATTTGATGCTCTGGTATATAACATTCACAACTGTCCTTGCTTACAATACCTACAATAAAACTGTTCCCTATTTCACTAAGGGTCCCTCAAACATTTCCACTAAATTTTCTCCTCCTCAGAGAAACATTCATAGCTTTCTTGGTTTCTCATGATATGGTTTCCGAATCATTCATCATATTAGTTACCTTTAGAAACACTCAGGGTATTTGGTAGCAATATTACTTTCAGTCAAAAATTGTAAGATTATTTTAGCAGCCTTATTTCAGTGAGATATATATCCATATATAGAAGATATATGTACTTTTTAAAAAAATTAAGACTATTTTTCAGAGCAGTTTCAGGTTTACAGGAAAACAGAGCAGAAAATACAGCATCTCTATGTATCACCCCCCACCCTACAGTTTTCTCTACTATTAACATTAGTATGGTACATTTGTTACAATTGACAACATTAGTATGGTACATTTGTTACAATGGTACATTTGTTACAAATTAAAGTCCATCATTTAAGTTAGGGTTCAATCTTTATGTTGTAGATTCTATGTGTTTTGACAAATGTAAAAGGACATAAATTCCCATTACAGCACCCTACAAAGTAGTTTCGCTGACCCTGTGCTCCACCTATTCGTCCCTATATCTTTCATTTGAAAATTTTGCAAAAACATTCAAGAAACTCCCATACTATTTTTTCAAATAATTGACTTATTACTAACTAAATGAAGGGACTAGATTTATCTCTATTAAATTTTATCTTCCTGGCTACAGTCTATTTTTTCCAGGATGTTGAGATTTAATTGAAATTCAACCTGTCAACCAACATTTATGTAACATTTATGAATTTGGTAACTATGTCTTCTGTATTTTCACTTAAGGATAAAAACATTGACCAGGAGGATCAAGAGCAAAGTCCTAAGGAATATTACTAGAGACCTCCTGCTAGAAATTTATTAATGAACTCTCCTTGGATACAACTAAGTGTAAATAAAAAAACAGCCCAAAATTTTCTATCTTATCTTATGAACATCTTATTTTCTATCTATCTTTAAAAAAATTTTTTTAAATGTGTTTATTTATTTTTGAGAGAGAGACAGAGCAAATGAGGGAGGGATAGAGAGAGAGAGGGAGACACAGAATCTGAAGCAGGCTCCAGGCTCTGAGTTGTCAGCACGAAGCCTGACACGGGGCTTGAACTCACGAGCTGTGAGATCATGACCTGAGCCAAAGTCAGATGCTTAACCAATGAGCCACCCAGGCACCCCTTCTATCTATTTTATGTATGTATGACATGATAATAATAAACATATCTTTCTTTGAGTAGTTACTATGTTGACAGGTATTTCATTAAGTGGTTTATATACATTATCTCCTTTAATTTTCACAAGAACCCTATCTGGTAGGAACTATTAGCCTTATTATATAAATGAGCAAACAAAGTATCTGAGTGAATAAAAAATATAAAGAATAAGTAGAGGAGCCAAGGCTCAAAGCCAGGTCACAAGGACTCCCTTATTCAATTAGGTTAAACTAAACAAAAAAACTAATATTTAATACAGCCATTCTTTAGATACTGTGGGTTTGGTTCTTGATCACCACAATAAAGCAAATCAAATGAATCCTTTGGCTTCCCAATGCAAATAAAAGTTATGCTTATACTACATTGTAATCTATTAAGTGTGCAATAGCATTATGCCTTAAAAAAAAACCCCAATGTACATGCCTTAAAGATATTTTATTGCTAAAAAATGCTAACCAGCATCTACACTTTCAGCAAGTTATAATCACTGATCACAGATCACCATAACAAATATAATAATAAAAAAGTTAAAAATATTATTACCAAAATGTGATACTGAGACATGAAGTGAGCAAATGCTGTTAGAAAAACGATGTTGATAGGCTTGAACAGAGTTGCCACAAACCTTCAATTTGTAACAAAACACAGTATCTGTGAAGTACAATAAAGTGAAGCACAGTAAAATGAGATATGCCTGTAGCTGAAAATTAAGCATAATAAGTAAAACTGATATAAAGTATATTCCTGATTGTGATACTTAGAATTTATGATGGCATGATGATCTCCAACTTCTCTAAATATTGCTTTTTTACTTATTATTTTTCCCATAGAAATAAATATATGGTAAGTTCTCCAAATTGAGAATTTTTAAAACGTGCATTGAAACTGGGATATAATGAAAATGAGGCAGGAAGAAATAACAATTTGGCCTTCAGAGAGGGCTCTGTTGGTTGAAGAGTTATTTGGAAACGGTTCAAAAACTTTTACACTAGGCATTGAAACTCAAAAGTTAGCCTTCTAAGGGTTTCTTGGAAAATAATGAAAATATTATAGAATAGTTGTGATGGTTGTACAATTTTATGAATATACTAAAAACTACTAACTTGCATATTTCAAAAGGGTGAATTTTGTGATTTGAATTGTATCTCAATTCTTAGAATGAGAATCTTTTTTTTTTTTTTACACGAACTTCAACAAAGACCTAAATCCATTTTAAACCAAGATCAATTAAGAATCAACACAAGCTAACCCATAAACAACAACTTGAGGTCTTAGAGGTGATTTAGGAGTTTGGGCTAGGAGTTTCTTAAAACCTACCTACAACAGGGAAGGGGAAAAAATTGTACAAGTAGGTACATGCATTGACAGGTAACCAAAACCTCAGACAGCTGGAAGTGTGTATATCACTTTAGATGTAAAACAAGAGAAAAATATTTTTGGATATCTTAACCTGACAATCAAAAGTAATCTGGACAATGGCTGGATGCTAGATTTCCCAAATATGTGCCTAAACTATCAGTGCAACCCCCAAAAGCCTAGTGACTATATACTGATCTGCAAAAAATATTTTGTTATTCCATTCTCACTGCAGATAAAATAGCAATAATGTATTATCCAAAAACTGAAATTATACATCAAACATTAATCCAAAAGGAGTATACACTGGTTAACAGACATGGATCTATACTCTTTCATGACAATAGTTGAGTGTTGTCATGTGACTACATATGTCACAAACCACTACAGCTAAGTTAAGTGAATTAAGCTATGAAATTGTGCCATATCAATACCATTTGCCATATCTTTCTCTCATGAACTAGAGCTCTTCAAAAAAACTTCTCAATTAAGGCATAGTAAGTGGTGGCTTTGAACAACTTCTACAATCTACAAATGTAAAACTTTATAAAAATTAAAGGTATAATACTTTTCTGACACTGAGATGTTAATTCTAACCATACATTTTTTTAATGATCTATTCCTGGGTGCCTGAATGGCTCAGTCAGTTAAGCATCCCACTTTGGCTCTGGTCATGATCTTATGGTTCATGAGGTCAAACCCTGAGTTGGGCTCCGTGCTGACAGTGCGAGCCTGCTTGGGATTCTCTCTCTCCCTCTCCCTGACCCTCCCCCACCTACGCTTTCTTTCTCTCTCAAAATAAATAAACTTAAAAGTCACATTTTGTACCAACTGAGCCAGCCCAGGCGCCCCCAATGAAAAATCTTAAAGTATACTCTTTTCTGTTAACTTTCAAATATACATTATTGTTAACTACAGTCACCATACTCTACACTAGTTCCCAGAACTTACTCATCTTATAACTGGATGTTTGTACTCTTTGACCACCTTCACCTATTCCTCCCACACTCTTGCTCCTGGCAACCACCACCAGTCTACCAATCTGAGTTCAGTTTTTTTGAGATTCCACATATAAGTGAGATTTGTCTTTCTCTGTCTGACTTATTTCACTTAGCATGATGCACTCAAGGTTCATGTGTGTTGATGCAAAGGCAGGATTTTCTTCTTTTTTATAGGTAACATTCCATTGTGTGTGTGTGTGTGTGTGTGTGTGTGTGCGTGTGTGTATGTGTGTATTTTCTTTATCCATTCATCTGTTGATGGACACTTAGGTTGTTTCCATAGCTTGTCTACTGTAAATAATGCTGCAAGGAATATGGGGTAGAGATTTCCCTTCAAGATAGTTCAATCACAGGGACAGTAGGCCATTTGAAGTTGTCCCACAACTCACTACTGCTCCATTTACTTTTTACATTTCTATTTTTTAATCTGTTTTATATTTTTTGTGGTTTCTATTACTATGTTTTCAAGTTTATTAATTTTTCTGCAATCTTTGAATGCCATTACTTTCTTCACAAGTTCAATGTTGCCCTCTTATATATCTTCCACGTCTCTACATACCTTTTTGAACATATGAATACAGTTATAATAACTGTTTTCATGTCCTGTCTGTTAATCCTACTATCTGGGCCGGTTCTAGATTGGTTTTGATTGATTCATTTATCTCATTACAGGTCATATTTTTCCCCATCTTTTCATACCTCCTAATTTTTTATTAGAATCAGGACATTGTGATTTTGATCTTATTCGGTGCTGGATACTTCTGTATTCCTATAAGTATTCTTGAGTTTTGTTTGTATGCAGTAAAGTCACGTACAAACAGTTTGGTTTTCTGAAGGTCTTGCTTTTAAGATTTATTAAACAGAACTGCCATAATGTTCAGTCTAGGGCTAAGTATCTCCCACTACTGAGTAAAATTTCTTCTATTTACTCTACTAATGCCCAGTGAATCAGGAGGCTATTCCTAGCCTGGTTGCTGGGAGCAGACACTACTACTGGTCTTATGTGAGTACCAGACACTATAACCTCTAATTTTTTCATACGGTTCTTTCCCCAGCAGCAAGTAGTTTCCTCACATGCATGCACTAATCAATACTCAACTATGTACTTGAGGAGAATCTTTTATGGATCTCTGGAGTTGTCTCTATGCAATTCTCTCCTCTCTACCATGCTGTCTTGTGAATTCTGCTGACCTCGGTCTCCTCAGAATCTCACCTTCATCTCCTCAATTCAAGAAGTCTACCAGGTTCTGCTTGGGTTCCTGCTCCCTATACTATAGTCTGAAAACTCTCCAAAGCAATAAGCTGGGATGGTTGTAAAGCTCACCTTATTAATTGCCCAATTACTTCACATATCACTGCCCTCACTGTCTGATAGTCAATGATCTTTTCCATCATTTCATATATTTTGTCTACTTCTTGGTTGTTTCACATGAGAGAGTATATCTGGTCGCTGTCCTCCAACTTGGTCAGGGCATAGAACTTAATACTACATATTTTGATTAAAACTTATGATTTCAAAAACACAGCATTTCCATTTTGATCTAAAGAACAGCAATTTCATATGTTTCAATCTAATATTATGCTGTTTTCAAAGAATGTGAGAGATTTTGATTAAGTACATCTAATAGCCCTATCTAAAAATGAAATGAGATTCATTTGATGTGCCTTATCCAATGTACCTATTTAAAGCTTGTCTTTATTTTCAAATTGCTGATAAACCATCACAAACTCCTTACAAAACATTTTGTTGCCACACATCACTCATTTAATTTGAACCCACTGTTCTATTTGCTGCAGTCACACATTTTATCTCATGGAACAGTCAAGATCTCTATCTAAATATATAAGCATTGATCATTTACTACATATAAATTAACTTCTATCCAGTTATACTCATCATTTAATACCACTTCTTGTGACAGAGTTTCTCTGCACAAATAATTGTGCCACAGTCTCAACCCAGCTAGGCAGAAGGAAATAACATCTCATATATCAGGAAATCAACTTCCAATTAGCTATGTGTCACAAATGAGACATCTATTTTTCTTTTTTTTTTTTTATTTTTTTTTCAACGTTTTTATTTATTTTTGGGACAGAGAGAGACAGAGCATGAACGGGGGAGGGGCAGAGAGAGAGGGAGACACAGAATCGGAAACAGGCTCCAGGCTCTGAGCTGTCAGCCCAGAGCCTGACGCGGGGCTCGAACTCACGGACCGCAAGATCGTGACCTGGCTGAAGTCGGACGCTTAACCGACTGCGCCACCCAGGCGCCCCGATACATCTATTTTTCTAGAAATTGCCAAATGAAATAGTAAATTCACTTAAAAGTCTTATAATTAGGGATTAGAAAATTAGGAAACAAGGGGCACCAGGGTGGCTCAGTTGGCTAAGCATCTGACTTTGGCCCAGGTCATGGTCTCATGGTTCATAAGCTTGAGCCCCATGTTGGGTGAGCTCGAGCCCTGCCTGGGGTGAGCTCAAGCCCCGCTTTGGGACTCTCTCTCTCTCTCCCTTTCTCTACCACTAGCTCACTCACTCTCTCTCCAAAAAAAAAAAAAAAAAAAAAAATAGGAAACAGAAAATCAAGATAAAGAGAAACTTGTCAATCAATCCCGAGTGGCATCCTGTTCCTGCCCAGTTTTCTTGCTACAACCATCTGCACATACCCCAATCTCATCCCTACCAAGAGGGTGTGCATATGACCTCTTTTTGGGCACTCCTGTGCAAAAATAATTCCATTTTCTTAAAACATGGTAGGCAATTTTATTACGGAAATTTAAATATGATTCCAATCCATGTCACTACAAGCCAAGAATCGCGTTTAAATTTGAAACCTATTATTAAAATTTCAAAAGCCTCATTCAAAATTCATGACTCAGTGAAGGAAACAGATGAGGAAAAAAGCAATGAGGTCTTTCCACATGTGTATATGTACTGACACTGCCATATATGTGAACATGTGTATCTAAACTGTTATATATGTGCAAAAAAACCAGAACACAGGAAGAAATTTCGTGAATGGGGGCTGAGAGAGGTGGAAGTTCATCATTATACACCTTTTCATACCTGCTGAATATTGAACCATGAGAATATAATTACCTATTCAGGAAGAAATTTAAGTAATTAAAACAGATGAAGAAACTGGCCTAAACCACAATTAGAAATAAAATGTCATTATATATGACTCCAAGTATAGTATATTTATTTTACCTTTTCTATATTTATATAGAGATTATAATCTTACGAACAAAGATTTCCCAAAATTTCTTAATAGGAATCATCTGAGTTGTTAAAAACAGATTTTTGGTCCAATCTAGATCTACTGAATTAAGATTTCCCAGAAAGACATAATCTGCACAAAAAACAGCCCCAAGTAATTCTTACCAAAAGTTAAGGAAACCATTAACTAAGGAATAAGATTCATTTCTGGAAAGAGCAACAACTTTGCAATTAGACAATCCTGGATTTATCTCTTGGCTCTTCCATTTACCTGTGTGATCCTGGATAAGTTACTTGGCCTCTCTGTGCCTCAGGTTCCTTACCTATAAAGTGGAAAGATAATACTTCTAGGGTTTTTATAAAGATTGATCTGTGCAGAAGGTATGGGACATCATCTTTCTCTAATCCTTAACATACCTTGCTTCCTTAAAAAAAAAAAAAAAAGAAGATATCTGGCATATAGATATCCAATAAATATCAGCTTCTTTTCCTCCCACATTCGAATTATACAGATGTTGGGGTATATGTTACTCTAACGATACTGTTAAATGCTGAAGCAGTATTTATTAATCATTAATCTTCACAAAAACATATAATAGTCACTAAACTAGGAGCCAATCTGACAAAAAGCATTTAACTAGTTCAGTTTAGTTGGTTTATTACTGACAAGCTTGACACATATCACTTATTTTTTAAAGAATATTCCTATCCTACCTAAAAAAAATTACTTTATATGCTTTAACAAAATGAATAAAGAGTACAATGTTGCTTTGTCTATTATTTTTCCTTAATCCAAATTATAGCATCCCTAAAATAATTTCTCTCTCAAAAAAATTCTCTAATAGTTATACCTCTGTTATGTTTCTCTCTCGTAATGAAGCCAACTCATATGGATCCACAAAAAGTCCTGATGGAATGTACTGTTTAATTAAGAGTCGGCAGGTCTGTAAGTCCTCAAGGCTTTCTCCAAATTTCACTTTTATTAAGAGGTCTCTGTAAGATAAGTACATTTAAAATAAATCTCTCCATTCAATTGTTAAATGAAATAGCATAACATTACATTCGAATTAGTAAAAACACTGCATTTCAAATTCATTTTTCAGAAAATCATAAAGTCAAATGAAATATTTATATCATGTCAGAACCACTCATGAGATCGTTCATGAATTTATGTCATAAGCCACAGTACAGTATTAGTATGAAAACAAAGATCAATGGAAAGAAATAGAGTCCAAAAACAGACACACACGTTTATAGGCAATAAAGGTGCCAATATAATTTGATAGGAAAAGGAGAGTCTTTTCAACAAATAGTACTGAAACAAGAAATCTACACAGAAAAAAAAATGAACCTTGATCTCAAACTCATACCACATACAAATATTAATTTGAAGTAGATTATAAACCTAAATGTATAATTGTCCCAGCTTTCTGTCTGAAGGCACATGTTGGACCAAGTATGGGGAAGGAAACCCAAAGCACAACACAGTGGTTTTGCTTAAATTATAAAACAGAGATAGAAGTAAAGGGAGGGGCGCCTGGGTGGCTAAGTCCATTAAGCGTCCACCTCTTGATCTCTGTTCAGGTCATGATCTCAAGGTTTGTGAGTTTGAGCCCCACGTTGGACTTTGCGCTGCCAGTGCATAGCCTACTTGGAATTCTCTCTTTCTCTCTCTCTCAAAATAAATAAACTTAAACAACAACAACAACAACAACAAGTTAAGGGAGACTGAAGTAGCTGGAAGATAAGGTGCTAAATTCCAGAGAGGACGGTACTACGTAGGAGTTCTATAAATCTGAATTGGTCTCCCTTTGAGTTTTTTCTGAATACTAAGAAAAGCGTGAGTAAAGTGTAATTCCACGAGACTGGGCAAAGAATAACCAGGGAACTGAAAAATCAGAAATTCTAAAATTTCACACAAGTTGGGAGAAATCTGCATTTCCAACCAACCAAAGTACAGAGACCATAGCTTTTGGTAAAGATACCAACACGGCAAGGCCTTTGCAGCTAAATTAGCCTTGCAGTAAAGGCCACTTTAATTTTAGAGCTATACAAAAAAAGGTTAAGAGGATCAAGCTGATACACAAGTTAATTTAACTGCTAATAGAAAAAATAAGCCCAATGCCCTTCAAAGGAAGATAAAATCCACACACTCAAAAATGCTCATATCAGGATGCCTAGGTGGCTGAGTCAGTTAAGTGTCTGACTTTGACTCAGGTCTTGATCTAGTGGTTCATGAGTTCCAGCCCCATGACAGGCTCTGTGCTGACAGCTTGGAGCCTGGAGCCTGCTTCAGACTCTGTGTCTCTCCCTCTCTTTCTGCCCCTCCCCTGCTTGAGTGTGCGCACTCTCTCTCAAAAATAAATAAACATTAAAAAAAAAAAAAGGAAGAGAAAGAGGAGAAAGAAATGAACGGTTCTAAGATTCAGACATTATTCTTAGTGTGGAATAATATTTGAAGGTAGGCTATGATAAGCTGAAATTGTACACTATAAAGTCTAAAGCAACCAATTAGAAAAAGAAAGAGGTATAGCTAGTAAGCCAAAAATGGAGATAAAATGGAATGCTTAAACAATATTCAATTTATCTAAAATAAGGCAAGGAAAGAGAGAAAAGATTAGCTAGGACAAATATAAAAAAAGTAACAAAATGGGTAGGGTTAAACCAAACCAAGCAAATAAATATTTATATTAAAGTAAATGGTCCAGGGGCACCTGGGTAGCTCAGTCAGTTAAGCTTCTGACTCTTGACCTCAGCTCAGGTCACGATCTCATGGTTTGTGGGATTGAGTCCCATGTTGGGCTCTGTGCTGTCAGCGCAGAGCCGGTTTGGAATTCTCTCTCTCCCTCCCTCTCTGTCCCTCCCCTGCTCACATAAGCACACATGTGTGCTCACTCTCTCTCTGTCTCCCTCTCAAAATAAACTTAAGAATTTTTAAAAAAAATTTTTTTAACGTTTATTTATTTTTGAGACAGAGAGAGACAGAGCATGAACGGGGGAGGGTCAGAGAGAGGGAGACACAGAATCTGAAACAGGCTCCAGGCTCTGAGCTGTCAGCACAGAGCCCGACGCGGGGCTCGAACTCACGGACCGCGAGATCATGACCTGAGCCGAAGTTGGCCGCCTAACCGACTGAGCCACCCAGGCACCCCAAGAATTTTTTTTTAAAGTAAATGGTCTAGGGGCTCCTCAGTGGCTCAGTTGGTTAAGTGTTCAACTTCAGCTCAGGTCATGATCTCACAGTTCATGAGTTCCAGCCCCGTGTCGGGCTCTGGGCTGACAGCTCAGAGCCTGGAGCCTGCTTCGGATTCTATGTCTCCCTCCCTCTCTGCCCCTCCCCCACTCACACTCTGTCTAAGTGAATAAACATTAAAAAAAAAAAAGTAAATGGTCTAATCATTCCAATTAGAATGTAGAGATTGACAGACTGGATAAAATAGCAACAATTAATTATATGCTATCTATAAGACACACATTAATAATAAAAATAGTGAAATAATAATAATAAAAATATTGCTATATTAACATCAAAAATGCAGATTTCAGGACAAGGAATATTGTCAGGGATAAAGAAGGACATTACAAAAAGATAAAAGGATCAATTCCTCAGAACACATAATAATCCTAAATGTGCTATAAAACATCTAAAAACAGTGCTTCAAAATGTTCATGTATTTTACTTCACAGCAAAAACTGGTAAAGCTTCAAGGATAAATAGACAAATCTGCAATTACAGCCAGAGATTTTAATACCCCTCTCTCAATAATGGATAGAATAAGTAGAAAATCAGTAAGGATATAGAAGGCATTCACAATCTTCAATCAAGTTTATCTGACATTAATAGACTGTTCTACCAAACAAGAGCACACTGCACTAGAAAAATCTATATGCTGGGCAATAAAAGAAGTTTCTAGAAGTTTTCATAGGACTGAAATCTTGTTGAGTATAGTCTCTAACCACAGGGAATTGAGTTAGAAATCAAAAGAGGAGGAGAAACCACCTTCACCAAAGCCACAGCCTCAGGGTCAGTCTCCTCCTTTGCCTCTGCCTGGGATCTGCTGCCAGGAAGCTTTGGCTTCACAGTTACATGTGTAGTCTCAGGTTTCTTTACCACCAGAAAGAAAAAAATGGATACCCTGCATCCTGGAAATTCATTTAGGAGACTGAAATTAGGGCCTCTTTCAAATGTGGACATGGCTAATGGAGGAGCAACAAGACCCAACAGGCCAAATACTGTAGATACAATATGCCAGTTCAAACTAGTACTTCTGGAAGAGTCTGCCCTTGGCAAATCAAGCCTAGTTCTTTGTTTTGTGAAGGGCCAGTTTCATGAATTTCAAGAGAATACTGCTGTGGCTGCTTCTGTAACCCAAATTGGCTAGCTTGATAATACAACTGTGAAGTCTGAAGTAGGGGACGCAGCTGGTCAAGAATCATACTATAGCCTAGCACCAATGTACCACAGAGAAGCACAGGTAGCCAGACTTGAATATGAGATCTCAAATGAGGAGTTCTTTGCAAGAGCAAAAAACTGGGTTAAAGAACTTCAGAGGCAAGCAAGTCCTAACACTGTCATAGCTTTACCAGGAAACAAAGCTGACCTAGAATAAATGAGCTGTAGATTTCCAGGAAGCACAGTCCTATGCAGATGACAAAATTATTATTCATGGAGACATCAGCTAAAACATCAATGAATGTAAATGAAATATATACAGTAATAGCAAAAAATCTGTGAAATAATGGACCACAAAATCCAGGAGCAAATTCTGCCAGAGGAAGAGCAGCAGAATTTATTGAACTCACACAGCCAACCAGGAGTCAGTGTCGTAGTAATTAAACCTCCAGTTTGAGCTAGCTGGAATATTCTTCTGCTTCTTTTTTTTTTTTTTAACGTTTATTTATTTTTGGGACAGAGAGAGACAGAGCATGAACGGGGGAGGGGCAGAGAGAGAGGGAGACACAGAATCGAAAACAGGCTCCAGGCTCTGAGCCATCAGCCCAGAGCCTGACGCGGGG